ACTTAAACAGGCCTCAAAATGAGGATATCGTACTCTGAGTTATTTGTGTAAAGGAATAGCTTTCACAATCCACTTCATTTTCATGAATTAACTTCACCCATCTACACTCATGTAGGTTTAAGCATGAATTAACTATATTATGGGGCGCCTCATTACTATCACAAATGTATTTATCAGAAGTGGCTAAGTTTACAGCCGGTCACCTATTCTATTGGTTTAGTATATTGGTGCGCTATTTCGCCAAGTATGGTTTCTCGAATTGATGATGTCTGCCATATGATTCGTAAGTTTGATAAGATTCTTCAGAATTACGGGGCGGCGGGCCGTAGAATTTTTCGCATAATCCAACAGTCTTCACTCCAACAGAGTGCCCCAGTGTTTTGGTGATACCAATTCATCAATTCCTTCAAAAAAAGTTTCCCTTGAATGGAAAAGTTGATAAAGAAAATCATTTTTTCCCTTTTTCTTAATTATTATATTTCCTGATTATAATGTTAGTACGAGCTCGTTTTCTCAACTTGCCGAAGGAATATCTTGTTAAAAGTACCCAGTCCTGTGTCCGCTATAGTATTCGTGATGTCCAGCATCGGAAAATTTACTTGGTACAATCCTATACGCTTTGCCGATATCATAGTCGGCATCTTCAGTGAGAATACAATCATCATCGCAGCACCACAACTTATCAACGTGATAAGTTCTAACTCTCTGCTGGTGCGATTCTGGACATCACGAATAATATAACAGAGGACACTGGACTAAATATGTTCTACAAGGTGTCCCTGGTGCTCCGATCAAAATCACTGTTTAACTCTGAACGCTGGTTACCTCAGATCCTTCAATTCCCGTCTGAGATTGCGCCATATTCAAGGATAAGGAGCAGAGCAGACGGATCCACTTCATCTCCAAGATATACTTTTCTTTTTCCAAGATCTCCATTAGTGCCGTGAGTGCTTTCTCTTCTAAGATGTACATGGACTGTACACCAAAGCTCACCAAAAGTTCGTTTTCTTCCAAACTGATGTCTCTGATTCTTCAACAAAATTCGTATGGGTTTTTCACTGTATTTCATAATCTGTTATTCAAATTCTTTACTTTGGACGCAGATAAATTTCTCCAGTTTATGTGTTTGTCAGTGCTTGTTGTTGACTATCAGTCTAAATGGTTCTTCTTTGTGTACCTTCGAAAAACCGTATGCTAATGGGGCTCTTGCATCCTTTCTAATGAGTGAATCCATTGCCCATTTGTCGAGTTCCCTCTTCATATTCATTTCCTTCAGTATTTCTTGCAATGACCCTTTGATTTTAACCGTTATTTCTTTGCTATTAATCGATAAGTTGTAGTGCCTCCGAAAATATTTTCCGTTTTCTCTGTATATTCCTTCAGGCCCATCACCTTTGTTATCTTGTAGGACTAAAATCTCATTTTATCTTGGTTATATTGTTCGTATCTTTGGGTTATTGATGTGCCAAGTTCGTTGGGATGATTTCCACTTCCAGCTCTCTTTTTTATTCTCTTGGTAGCTTCTCAAAGGTATTGGTCACCTTCACTAAAATGTTCTTGATTATCTTCCTTTCATTCTGAAGTGCAAAATTTAGTTCCTTCTTCTTCATGTTGCTGGCTGGTCTCCACATCAAGAGGGACGGGGGACAGATTCACTACTTTATTGTCATCTCTTGTGCGTCATTCTAGAGTCCTGTTCGTTTTTGTCGGATAGTTGGACTTTGCATCGCCTATATATTCCATATTTTTCAGCTTCTGGTGCTTTTTGTGATTAAGTCCGATATCCTTTTTGATATTTTCTCTGTCATCTGCAGTTTCAGGAAATCCTCCGGGTTAAGAATCTGGCACAAATCATGCCTGAGTCCAGCTTTTATTTCTAAAAAGTTAAATAAATTTCCCCTTAATCCTAGATCTCTTCTAATTTTTCCAAATAGGCTTGATATAATATAGCATTGATCTTTTTGGAATGCTATTATCTTATTAAATTGAAAAAACTAGAAGGGATGCTATAATGTTTACAACTCTTAAGAAAGGTCAAATGACAAGAATGACTTACGATTCTTTTTTTATCTTTCCCAGTTATAGTTGTTTTTTACACACTTTGTTACACAAACAAGTTCATGTGAGCATGTAGATCTTGACACATTTTAGACGAACCAAGAGGTATCCTGTCTCTGGGACCTGATTTTGACACGATTGGCCTCTTCTCCTCGACCTGAGATAAGTCCATCTGCCGGTCACCTTCTTCGCTTGGTGCTCAACCTGCCTCCACGCACTACTTCTGTTCAATTCGCCTCTGGAGAAGTCACTAATTGTAGCCCCGTTGCCGATTGCTATGGGGATTGCGGTGACAAAGAGGAGGATGCCTGCACCACTGCTCGCTGGAGAAACCCGTCTTCTTTGCTACTCACGCCGATTTCAGCGACCAGATCGGCTCTTCTCGCGACTGTAGTCGGGGCTGCAGACCAACATAGCAACACGCCAACATGGTCTGATCCCCCTCATGTTGGCTTGATGGACTCGTCATTTCGGCAGCCTGTATCGGCCGCCCCTACTTTGAATCACCTCGGAGCCCCTCATGAGGCCCCGCCAGCTTTCCCATTTGAGATGAGACCCGAGGACCGTTGTCTCATCGCTGCCAACTATCTCTTGGATCGAGTGGAATCGGCATGTAGGACAGCCGAGGCCCGCCAATCCGATGGTCTCCTACTGGTCGCCTCGCAGCAGCCGTTCTACGCCTTCCTCAGCGTCATCCGCGGTCTTCTTCCTCAAATGACGGTGGCTGATATCGGGCTTGCATGCAACTCCTGCCCAATTTACGCTAACAAATGTAGCAGTAGCCGCCATACCAGTGGCGTCTCCTCTGACTTAGGCACTTCTTGTCTCGAGACATCTTCAATTGACAGGCAAACAAGCCAGGCGACTTCGTCTCCCTGTGATTTCGAATGCAGAGCCGCCCAATTGAGGCACCGAGGACCCTGGCTCCCCAGACAGGACATGCCACTGCCGCCTGAGTACGCACAAGCTTGATAACTCCTTGAAAGTTTCATGGATACGATCCATCGCTCTATTTCGTCTTCACATCAGGGACATTCCAGTCCCGACAGCGAACTCGTGGAGGATCTCATCGCTCCCCTCAGGGCCCACTCATTCTTATATTTCGACGCAGCCAAGCCAGTATTTGGGCTTTGAGGCAGCCATGCGAGTCACAGCTCGAACAGAGTATTGCTTTAGAAGTTGTTTGACCTTATTTTCGCAACTTGGTCAAATTGGTAGGAAGACTTAGAGGAATGCACCTAGTTCGGAGTCCATTGTATGCATGATAATTTCCAAAGTCTCTTTAACGAGTCCTAATATTGTGCTAAGAATGGCAAGACTCACTGACGATGCCGGCGAAATGTCTGGGGATGTAGCACGTTCACGGTCCGACTTTGGAAATGATGATGCATACAATGGACTCCGGACTAGCTGCGTTCCTCTAAGTCTTCCTACCAATTTGACCAAATTTCGAAAGCAAGGTTAAACAACTTCTATATAACGAAAGGAGGCTGCGACCACACAAAAGGCCACACCATCTTGCTCTTCATATCTTAGAGTATTGCTTTCCCTGAAAAGGAACTGCGAAAATGCCATGTTGTCTCATTTAGGCCTATTCCGCCTCGAGAGAGCTGCTGTAAATTTAGTACATGCTTATCACCATCATTGCCATCATTACTGTGTGGATTTTGGCTGGCTGGCTTCTCGTGAGCTGATTTTATTATTCAATTGGATTAGATATATTTATCCTAATTCGTTTAGGGATGGATATAAGGGTACTGGTAATTGAGTTTTCCCACAATGTTATGAGGAGATCTTGCGTTTCTAATGAATTTCATGAAGCTTTATTTTTTCAAAGGTATTCTCATCCAGACTGGAGTGGACTGAGGTATAAGCATCGCCTAGGTCTTATCAGTGCCCCAGAGGAGTTTGAACAATGATAGCGCTTCGTATAAACTCGACACGTTAACTACTACGTTACATTCCCACGAGTGTCCTTTGGTCAATGGGCAGATGTTAATTTTAAGAAAGGTCATGCATTGTCCTATATCACATTCTGTGTTGAGATTGTCGATAAAGCAAAGTTGTATTTGCTATAGCAATCGACTGTTACTTTTTTCGTTCATAAGTGGGCTTTTGAGGCTATCAGTAGATCATATATATGAAATATATTAATGTAATTTCCTTTAGGGCGATACATCTCGTATATATGATCTACTGGTAGTCTCAAAAGCCCACTTATATAAGAATAATAAGTGCCTAGCCGAATTCTATAGCATATACAACTTTGCGTTTTGGAGTCTCACCACAAAATGTAATATAGGAAAATGACTGGCCTTCTTTGAAATTCAAATCTTTACTGTGACCTAAAGGCAATGTTGCGTAGTGGTTAACGTGTCAAGATTATAAGCTTCACTGTCATGGTTAGAGTTCGGCTGGGGGTGTTGATGAGACCATGGCGTGGTTGAAATTGCAGACTGTGCAATTCAATGGAAATGCCATCTCTGAAATTTCATGAGGACCACGAATAATTCCTGTTGTAATGCAAGCGTTTAGGTTGACGCAGTCAAGGAGACATTCTCTCTCGTTTCCGGTAAAATGGGATGAGCTTTTGTCCTTCTTACGATGAACATCAGAGCTGAATCTCATTTTTGTAAAAGTCTCATATTCACACTTGGCTAAGAAGGCTATCCGGCTTAAGGTATGCGTTAGTAACGATGCAGTTGAAAAGTAATAAATTAATTTACTACTTCAGCAAGATGCAATGGTTCCCACGACTTACGGTCTCCATAAGGTTCACGAAGAGGGAGTTTCTCTTAAATTAATTGTAAATAATAAATTAGGCGTGATGCCTAAAATTTTTTAATGCATAAAACTACGGAAGGCTGTGGATTTTTGGCTATATTCTGTTAAAATTGTTGTGCATTTGCAAAGTTGATTAATCAGCAGGCAATTTTGGAGGAGGATAGGCTAGTAAATTTTGATGTTGTGTCTATGTACACAAATATTCCTGTTCAAGGAGCCATTCAGACTAGCACAAACTCTGGAGGAGCATCCAGACATCATAAGGAATAAGGTTAAGTATAGCGTCCATCCTCAAACTTTCTAAACCAACGTATATTTGCTCATATCTGAATTTTTTCTAACCATGGTTTGAATTTTGAAGTCAATGTTTATTAGGAGTATAAGACTAGCGAATAGCAGCCATTTGATTAAAGAGTTTCAACAGCTAAAATAATTATCCATTCGGCCTAATTAAGAATAATACCCCTTTATTTAGGAATACATGTTCAAACATAGACTATTTAGTCAAAGAGAGACAAAGAGAGAACTTTTCTCATTTCCTAATTTTGCCTTCATGCCTCTTTCAAAAAAGATAGGTGGACTAGTTAGAAAGTGAGGGATAAAAACAGTGTCCATTGAAACTCTCACACTTTCTTTGATTATGCCATCTCTTACAGAGAAATATGGCCCACTATTGAGATCCGGATGCTACAAAATTGTATGCTCATATGCTCGCCCCTATGCTGATGAGACATACAGGCCCATTTGATCAAAACTAGAGTAATTCAAAAATGCTTGTAAAGCGAACTGAGTCCAACGGTCAGGAGTGGCTGAACACATGACAGAGACTGGACTGATTCAAACAAGTAGATTCGATAACTGTGGTACGTTGAAAAGAAGAAAAGAGATGCTACCAAATTTAAAATATTGGGAAATACGTGGAATGTGAGTAACGGTGGTAGGAAGTTGAGAAGGAACTAATTATGCTTGATTGATAGGTTGAAAGAGATTGATGGTGTTGATTAACTATCCAAAAGAAGGTAACTTAACTTGTCCGCTCAGTGATGGTCCAAACTTCATTCACATTCATCCAACATGTTAAATTAAGCCAATCAACCAAACCGAACGTACGAGATTACGCAGCCCCAATCATGTCTTTCTTTGGATGGTTAAACCTTAATAGCCCTAGACAGAGAGGTAAGGACAGGTGATTTCTTAATCTGGCTTACACACTTACAAGCTTATATGTCATTATCTCAACCATAATTTCTTTCGGACTTGGGTCATTAAGCCTTGAGGACTAGAGCCTGATATTAGGCTATTTTGCTCACTCTGAGTTAAGACCGGTATTGCGCTTATACGTTAACACATACGGACTCGATTAGAAGTAGTAGGACCAATACAAAAGATAATTAGCCAAAACATTTTATATCTTTCTCTGCCTATTAATTTTCTTTTGATTATATGAGAGGTAGGATAGTTCCGAATAATCTTCTTGGCTTAGTGTTAATGTGAGAATTTTACAAGAATGAGTTCCAGTTTTGATGATTCTCGTCAAAAGCACAGTCCATTTTTACTGGAATAATGAAGGATGTGTCGTTCACTGCTTGAACCTAAATGTCGTATTAAGGCCAAACGGCTGCATACAACTGGAATCGACCTTCGAATCTCGTCTTCATGCACTTCCATAAGAAATAAAAATCGCTTCAACAATTTTATTTCAGAGAATTCATCGAAACTCAATCACTCTTATTATATTCTCATATGATCTTAGGAAAATTCACCTATTAGTCCCCTTATCACCTTAAACGAAATAGACTAACTATCTCTCATTTATGATCTAGTGGTTGTCTCTTTAGCCTACATATAAATAAAAAATTTACTTGATTGTTCCTTTCTCTAAAATATGGCAGGTATTTGGTTTACTATTATTTTTGGTATACGGCAGCACCTATCAAAGTTCGCTCCAGTACAACAAATATTAGGATTGGAAACAAATAGAGGGCGTGCTCTAAGTCGTTACTACCACTCTGCGAGATTGGTGCGTATGTCGTAAGTAGCTAAATCTGATCGCCCGAAATCGGTTTAAATCCATGCATATACTCTACCGTCTTGGGGGATGCTGCTGGTGGTAACCATGCAAATGAGGATGACGATGCTAGCTGGACATTGACGCACCTGACGGTTTCTCCTCTTTTCAGCGCCAGAATCCTTCATCATTTGAGTAAATTCAAGCACTTCTAGCTACATTTTCCCACAATGGCCTCAGGAGGCCATTCTAATGTTTGCTCATACCTACCGGACTGTATTTTATACCTCACCTAAGTCTCATCAGCATCTCTAACGGGATTCGAAACCAAATCGTGCACCACTACCTTCTTTGAGGACAGTGCATACTTGATGGGCTTCTAGAGGGGATCCGACGATTTCCGCACACGGAGCCTGAGGTCCAGCCACTTTTGGGAACGTATAAAAGTTTTATTTTTTTAGCTGCAACCATAATCTTGATGACATTTATACACGCACTGGGGGATGGAGGAGATTCTATCAGGAATTAATTTGAGGTATTTCGGCCAAACGAGGCCACCGTTTTTTCTTGGATAAAATTCATCTTTGGGCAGATAAGGTCTCCAGATGCGACTAGTGTCATTTGGGAAAACGTGGATATTTTGAAACAAGTGGCTTGATCTCGTTTTCACTATTTGGTTTTGTTGCCATGGTGACTTAGTTGAACGCACCTTGTCCGAAGTCCTATGCCATAGTAGCTATCATAATTCCCAAGATCAGACCGTGAACCTGGTACATTCTCAGACGTCTGATGCTGGTAATTATGATAACTACTATTGTAGAGGACTTCGGACAAGGTGTGTTCAACTAAGTCGCCTTGGCAACAAACCCAAGTTGCGAAAACGAGGTCAATCCACTACTTTAAATCGAAAGGAGACTGCGACCATACTGAGGGCCACACCTTGGTCTTCATATCATGGATATTTTAAGTCTATTCTGTTAGCACAAGTTTTATTTTACGCCACCAATATTTTCTTCTGTTAGACAAAAGAGAGACATAGGATTGCTCCAGTTCCTGGAGTTCTTCCCAAGATAATGCACTGTTAGTCTTCCAGAATGCTCGCCATTGATGCCTACCTTTTATATTCCTATCTATTTAATCTGCTTTATTAATATATTTATTCGAGTTTTTATGATGCCCCACCTAAATATTACGTTATAAATCTATTGAATTTAAATTTAGCTTATTTTTTCAGATTCATCTTTGCTTCGTGCTCCGGCACTACTAATGGTACCGACAGCTTGGCTTCCAGGCTTATCACCTTGGCCGACAGAATCTCCAGGCTGTGTTCTCCTGTAGTGGCTTCTGCTTCTCCTGAAGGCCTAATTCTTTCACACCATAACTTTACGTCTACCATTACTTCAAACGTTGCTGATGATGCTTTGCAGGTGATATAAAACTGTTTTGTCCATTCTGAATTGTTTGTTTATGAAGCCTTTGAGCAACTGATTGACTATCGAACCAACGAGTATCCTAATTAAACTCTTGTTGTTTGGCATTCTTAAGATTCTTCTAAAAGTAATGGTAGTAGCCTTGGCCTACATTGAAGCAACATCTGATGACTAATCATTTTAAGGTTTTTGGCGCATATATCATGCCAGCATGGAACCGATAGGTAGTTTATAATGTCACGGGTATCAATTATGTCTTATATTCTCAGCTTTCCCGAGCGGTTTCAATAATCATTCGGTGTATTTAATTACCACCAAAGCCTATGAAAAAAGCTCGCCTCAAGGTTGGCTTATGTTTACCTATTGACGCTCTTCAGCCTGAATTTTAACTTATATGCCACACATGACTTTCCCGCATCTTTGCCTTAGCCCTTCATCTTTTCGTTTCTCCGTTGTCTATTTTTGTTTATAAGTAGTTTTCTATTCTGCTAGTAGATCATACATATGAGCTGTATTTACTCCCTTATCTATCCTATATTTCAGGACTCTGAGACCAAGGCATATAACGAGGCTTTGATTCGAGCTTACTTTGTACCAGAATACCTTCTAGTTTGCTGTTGGCGATCTGTGCGAGAACTGGCTCTGATTCTGGGTACCTCACTTGCACCACACGGTCTCTTGTCATCCTCCCAACCAGATCGTTCCGTCCTGCTCACTGAGAAGCAGGTATTGCACCGGTTTGAATCCATTTCCGTTTGTTTCATACAACGATCCACATAGTTAACCAGTTTCTATTGTTGCGAACCCTTTCTAAAAGCCCTCCTCCACGGCAAGTCTCTTCATTTAATTGCACACGTAAAGGGCCTCTTGATCAATGCTGCTTGTTTACTCGAGAAGGGATTCGCATATACTTTCAACTTGTTTTATACGAAACTATCACTTTAGCTTTAAGCATCAAAAGTTGATTTTTTTAAAGTACTTTCAAATGCATCAATTAGTATTACTATATTTTTGAGTCAAAACAATTCTAGCTATTTGTATAATAATTCAGCAACCAAGCAAATTGAGGGATTCATACCTGCCATATTCATTCGTTTCGCTCCCAAACTATTCGCCAATATGATACGGGGGTAGGCTTTAGCAAGAACCTGTCCTTCTACTCCGGATTGTCGCTTTTTTGTGTGTGATTGGAAAGTCTTAATAACAAGAGTTTGTACGTCAATCTTTTGCTTTTTATTATCCATACCTTGGGACATGGTGATGCATTGCCATTCTAGTTGCGTTTGCTAGCTCAAGAATCAGACTTTTGGCTCAGAGCATGGATTTGTTGAATTTGGATTAAAATACGAGTTCAACTAGACACTCATCCTGGTTATGGTGCCTCCGTAGCAACTTTTCTAGGAAGCTTTCGCTATCCAGCTACCTTGTGATGTAAAGTAAGCGTTGCTCGTTCCCTGGATCAACGCGTCTTCCTATGCTCACTAACTTATATGAATACAACTTTATTTTAATCGATGTTTGCATACCTTTCATTTCGTTTGAAGAGGCTAGTAGAAGGGATTAGTGACTTGGCCCCACCAGAAGCTGAAGGAGGATTGCCTTGCGAATTTTATCTGTAAATTTGTGCGACAAAGTCCTTGGCTTATCGTACCGCGACTCCAATGAATCCTTGATTAGCTTTTGTTTGCCCTGTTACGTAAGTCCCAGATCAGGAAATCAGGCATCACGATAATTCACTTAGCACAAAAACAGAAAAAGTAGCCCAATTTTATCCACTTAATGACACATTCGATGATTTGGTTGCCTATCCTATGGTTTTCCAACATGTTTGCAGAAAGGTTAAGTCACTGCAATAATGATCGGACAGCTATATCCTCCTTTTGATACTGCAATGGTGATGCATGTGATTGCATTCCATTGCACGTATGTTGTGTGAATGCAATGCTCATGAGTCGCATACTGTCTAAAAGTGAAACTAGATTCGACGCTAATTAAGTCTCCTCCTATTCGGCAAAACTTCACGTTTCTTCTCTATTCTATTCAGGATATTGGCCGTCTCGTTGATTTCTATAGATTCCCTTATCTTCCGCCTACTAATATAATCTCCCTATCGAGCTAAGCATTTGTCGTTAGGCCAGCCTATCCGTTGTCCTGAGTGAGCCATGTCCTCGACATGGGGTCACTTGGTGAACGAAAGCCCAGAACGGATTCATTGTGGTCGCGGGATGATGTGCCGGAGCTACAGTCACAACTCCAAGATACTCCTTCTTCGGCTTCCGTTGAGACCAACTTACGAATCCCTTCCAGATTCCTCTTGAAACAAATTTAGAGCTATTCTGACATCAATCTATTCAGGGATTCTTCGGAACTCAGTTTTTATACATATTTATTTTTATCGAACTTCCTCGACAATATTTGTCCTCAACACCTCTCCACGTGCAAAAGTTGTGGAATATAGGGGCAAAGCCTAGTAGTGAACTTGCTATAGCTTTACCGACTGCCAAAATTCTCTTAGACATTGAAATCTAGGCCGTTTTTCACCTAAACCCTAATCTCATTGAAGGCATGAAGACCAAAATCGTATAGCCCTTAGTATGGTCGCAGTCTCCTTTCGATGTATAGAAGTGGATTAACTTTGTTTTCGCAACTTGGCCTTGTTGTCAGGACGACTTAGTTGCACGCATCTCTTGCGAAGTTCTCTGCTATATTAG